GACAAAAAAAAAAAAGAGACTAAATAAGTATAACACTAACTTTGAATTCAAATGCCGATGGTGTCCAAACTTGCCCCTCTAAAATAGCCTCGGTCTTTGCGATTTCCTTCCTTCTTTCCTGGTCGTGTTGACCCGAGGCATCAGAATCATTTGAATAACCTAGCTCTTTTAATATAGATTCATATTTTCGTATCAATAAATCTTTTTCGGCAATTTGAACTTGCTGAGTTTGTATAGTATGTCGCGATATTCGTAAAAGTTGCTCATTCGAATCAATTTTGCTTTTTAAATTGCCATCTAATTATTTATAAATAAATATTCAATACAATTAATAACATTAAGTTCCAAAATTTTTATTAATTTTGTTTTATGTTACCTTCTCTTGTTGAAAGTTCATCCTGCAATTCTTTTTTTTCACGTAATGCTTTTTCAGCTATAGCTTTGGCTTCCCTTGCATCTTCAAGAGCTGCTTCAAGAGCTGCTTCAAGTTTTTCTTGTTCATTAAACTTATTTATAGCTTGAGAAACAATTAGGCTAAGTGAACTATTCAAATCTTGATCAGGTACTCGCCGATCACGAACAATTTGAGTAATTAAAGCGTTAATAAGTTGAAAATATCGTGTTCTATAAAAAAATATTTAACAATAATTTGAAAGAATAATCTTTAGTAACAAATTAAATTAAATTAAATTATTAAATTTTACTAAATTTGATATACCTTGTCTCGCCTTCATCACGAATTAGTAGCATTTGTTGCAATGTGGACAAGAAGAAATCTTGTGCCTTTGTTCCTTCAACCGAACTAAGAATACACTGAAATACATCATAAGGACGAGTAAGATGGAGTTAAAGGATTATTAAAGTACCGAAATATGGAATGGAGGTTTGCTATTAAAATCATATGATTAACTAAGTCCCATAACTTGATTTTAATAGCTAGCAAACGACATAAATGCAATAATAAATATTAAAATGTCAAAAGAAAAGATAATAAAAGGATATGTCATATCTTGTAGAATCTGTTGATTGTAATACTCGGTAACCTCTTCAAAATCCAATTCACTGTCGTTTTCAAATTTACTTATTTGACGATTAATCAACTCATAATTTAAATTTCTCATTTTCTAATAGAATAATATAAACTGATTAATACAAATAGATAAGATCCATTAACTACAAGTGTAAATTACCTCAATAATACGTGATAAATTGCAATCGTGTAATTGATTTCTCAAGCGCACTCTTTCTTCTACGTCGTCACATACGCCAACAATTGAATTCACCAAGATCATATTGGAAAGCTGATAAGAAAATTTTGTATTTTTTTTTTTTTTTTTAGAAATCGGGATATTTTACAAGTTTGATTAAAATTCAGATATATTAATCAATTACATTACCACATATTCCATTATTGAACCATCGATTCCTATACCGCCTTTTTTAAATTCCTCACTTGCGTTTACTAAACTACCATAACGACCACGACTGTTAATTGTATTTTCCAATATATTCATCCATGCATTAAATCTACCAGATTCAGCTCGAAATTGCATCAGCTGATCAAACCCTCCCAATACCAAGTTGTGGCCAGTAGGAATTTCACAATAGCAAAGAAAGGAAAGAACTTCGGCCACAAGTTTTCGAGTGTTTAATTGTTGAGAAATAAGAGAGAATGTAATACTATGTATACATGTAGGATGTGATAAAGCTTCTTGTGCACCCCACTATATACGCAAAAAAATGTGAATTAATATAATTTTAAATTTATAACTAGAAAAAAATTATCATCATAACATACTCTGCAGTTTAACAATGACTTTAAACACTTCAGAATTTCATATTCCATCTGATGATCAACTTCTCGCCTAAGTTAAAACAAACAAATAAATATATATAAATTATTGCTATAAATCAAAAGTTTTAATATTAAATACAAACTTGGTAAGTTTCCGTGTAATGATACTTAAATGATTTGCAAGAACTTCTA